TACTGCTGAAAAATAGGTTGGAATGGTAGAACAAAAACCTGACATAACGCGTATAAACGGAGGCTTTGGGGACAACCTTTCATCTGGCATTTCCAGCCCCTGGAATGACTGACGTGCTGACTCTACCAGCAGCTCAGCTCTCAGGTTTGTCTCCTCTGCCACAGAACATTTTTGGGGGGCAGCGTGCTTGGGCAGGTGCAGAACACTCTGCAAGCAGGATATTCACAGCACAGGAGAGTAAAGGAATTAGCTGTTGGCTCCTGCACACAAAAGGCAGCTGGGTTTAATGATCTGTGGGGTTAAATATTCCTGTGCTCACCACTCTGAGCCCTGCCTGGGCAGACCTGGCTCAGGAGGGGTTTGGGGCTCTGTTCCCCCATTCCTGGGCTGCTCTTTGCCATTCTCACTGCCCAAAATCCCTGGAAAAGGGCTGGGAAAACTGCTCCCCTTCCCAGCTCTGCTGACCATGGAGCAGCTGAAGGACATTTGCTCGAGGCTTCCCCTCTGGAATACAAATAGTGACCAGAAAGTGCTGGTGGGTGATGAACGAGGAGCCTGGTGCTGGCACTATTTCCATTTTCCTCAGCAGTTTTTGGGCTTTCCTCCCTGCCTTGGGGCTCTGCACTCCCCTGGGTCCCTCAGGCCTCGAGTGCTGGGGAAGATCAGCCCTGGAGAAGGATTTTCTCTTCATTAGTGTGGGCATCAAGGAGGTTTCTTGTCATCAGTACAGAAGCAGGTTCCATCCTGCTCTGAAATCTCAGCACTTTTGGTGACAAGATCAGAGGGACAGAAGGAAAATAATTGTTTTTCATGGAAGCATTTAGCTGGGAAAAGGCTTTGAAGTGTCCCGTCACAAACTCGTGGCCCCAAATGCCACATCCCATGTGCCCAAATGGGCACAAATGCCACATCCCCATCCCCAAATGCCCAAATTTAAATCCCTTCAGGAATGAGGATTCCACCCCTGCCCTGGATCCCTTCATAGGCTGATGGTTCCTTTTCAGGCCTTTTTTAAAACTTTTTTTTTTACTTTTTCCCCCCTTTACCCCCTTTTTTCTTTTTCTTTTTTTTTTCTTTTTTCCCCTTGTTTTCTTCCTTTTCAGGCCATTCTCTTATCCTGTTAACTACAGATTTCAGAGCAGCTCCAAGTACTTTAATAAATTCTCTAAAACGAATGCAAAGTACAGCATGACTGTCAGAATGATCATACATCTGTATTACAGTTACAGGTGTATCTGTAATACAGCTGGCATATATTAAAAATATCCTTGCTTTGCAGATTTCATAAGGAATTTCATTAGGAAAGACAGGCTGGAAAATACAGCATTTTCTTTTCATATTCTGACACTTGATTTTTTTTTTCCATTATAGAACACAATAAATCAAGTTTTATTAGTAATACTCCCATATGAAATCCCTGAGACTGAGAAAAAAAATGGCTCTGGAGAAGTTGAAAACCAAGTACCAAAGGAAAGGTTAAATCAGTGAAAAAAGGAGATTTCCTAGGCAGGAAGTGCATGGGAACTCTTTGGGGGCTATTTAGAGAGTTCTTTAACAGCTACCCGGGGTTTTGCACCTCGGTGCTGATAATTCAGGTGGTGATTGCGGTTTAACCCCGGCTGGGAACTCGGCCCCTGGGATGCAGGGAAGGCTAAAAGTGAGAACACTTGTGGATAGAGACAGTTTAATCAAAGAAATAAAATAATAAATTGCCAATGGAAAGGAACGTGTCTCCTGTGCACGTTGTAGAGGAGTGGAGCGCTGCTTTCCTTTTCCCAGTGCAACATCTCACTCTTTCTGCTGGTTATTTTATCTGATCGCTCCCCCAGCTGTGCTCAGAAATTTCCTTTTGTGCCCTGGCAATTCAGAGCCCTGTGGCTCCTTTCTTCCCCTAATGGAGTTTCCTGGTAAATAGCTTTGAACTCAGATCCTTGTCTCAGCCGTAGATAAGCTCCCGCCTAACTGGCACTTCACAATTAACAGCATTATCTTGTTAAACCTGAGGAGGTGTAGGAAGGCTCAGCCATCATTTTAAAGCATTTTATTGCTTAGAAAGTGTTTACAAAGGGCTACAGAAGTGGTAAATGAATCCCAGTGCTGCATTCAGATGCTTGATTAGCTCAGCCACATGAAAATGCCAATAATTCAGGTTCTGACGGGGCTGCATGACGTTGCTGAAGCAATAGCCTCAAAACACCTGAGGGAAAGGAAAGGAAAGGAAAGGAAAGGAAAGGAAAGGAAAGGAAAGGAAAGGAAAGGAAAGGAATTTGAGGTGAAATAAAAAGAATTTGAGGTGAAATAAAAAGTTGCTCAGAATCAGAAGATGATGGTTCTTATTCAGGTGCACCTGTCCTCAGTGAAGAGCCAGTTTCCCCCAGGAGTGAGGCTGTGGGAATAAGTGACCCATGAGAGAAGAGAGAAAGCTCTGCTGGCTCCCTTCTGGCACAATTGGTGTGTTCAGGCTGTGTCTGCTCCTGTTCTAAAACCAGCATTTCACACCTCGAGTGTCCCCATCTCCGTGTCCCCCCTCAGCTCCCGCAGCCTGTGGGCAGCACCAGCAGGGAACAGCACACCCAGAATTTGGGCTTTGGGTGCTTCCTGCTGTCTGTGAATGAGCTTTGCTGGAGCCAGGCTGGAAGTCCTTGCCCTCCTTGGCCTGAGTGCAGCCCATGGCTGGCAGCAAAGGATGGGCACAGGAGCCACAGGCTCCTCTAAAGCTCCTGGAGGGATGGAGCCCTGAGTGCAGCCCATGGCTGGCTGCAAGGGAGGGCACAGGAGCCACAGGCTCCTCTAAAGCTCCTGGAGGGATGGAGCCCTGAGTGCAGCCCATGGCTGGCTGCAAGGGAGGGCACAGGAGCCACAGGCTCCTCTAAAGCTCCTGGAGGGATGGAGCCCTCCTGGGGAAGTTAATCTTCCCGGGGCTTGCAGGGCAGAGGTGTCTGCAGAGCGATCCGTGCTCGATGAACTCATCAGCTGCAAATGGCACGGACAGGTCACGGAGAAACACCCCGGGCTCGTTGCTCGCTGCCTGCTTGGAGCTCAGAAATAGAGGGAAGGAGGTATAAATGAGGTAATAAACGGGGTGAAAGGAGCGCTGGAATTCGTGCCGGGAGCAGGAGGAAGATGAGGGAGCGATGCGCCCTTGTGGCACAGGAGGCAGCAGCAGCATCCCGGGGATGGGGACAGCGGGCAGGGCACGGGCTGGACAGAGGCTGCACAGAGTTAAAGAATAAAGCAGGGATTTATTTAAAAAACTCTTCAAAGGATCCACCTTGTTTGGTTTTTTTCCTCTGTTTTATGGCCAGGGAGGAATAACTCATATCAAGGATCATGACCTCAGCAAGGTTTCCAGCAGTTTCTAGCAAAGCAACGTGAGATTAATTACAGAAGCAGGTTGTTAATGAGCCTGCCTGGGGTGGAGGCCATGAGGGCTGAGTGACCATGAAGGGACCAAATATCAGGGGAAGGATGGCCTGGTGTGGTTCTGGATTTGGTTTCTTTGTTCCTGGTGGGAAAGGAATTTGCTTATTAAATTTGCAGGTGATATGAACCTTGGATGACTGTAAGTCTATTAGAGAACAGGATTAGAATTTAAAATGTTCTTGACAAATTGGATAAATAGCCTGCAAATAAATTGATTAAATGGAGAAAAATGAGATGCCTCGGGCTGAAGCAGGAATGCTAAAAAGCCTTTTCTGTGTTGGAGAACAATTGGAGAGTTCCTTGGAAAAGCAATAAGGAACCACAAAGGATCACAGACTTTACATGAATCAGGAAAAGAAAAATATCCCAGGTTTGTGTGAACAGGAGGAGCTGACTGGGGACAATCCAGGCATTCCACTCTGCCCTAGGGCTCTCTCAGAAACACGTCCCAGGGTTGGGGAGGGTCTGGGTCAGTGGGAGCACAGGGGGCTGCAGTGACAGGGACCCAAAGCAAAGCAGGAAAACAGGGAAACAGCAAAGGAATGGTGTCAGCAGGAAGGATCAAGGGGCACACAGTAACCGTGGTCATAAAGGGCTGGGCAGGAAAAAGGGGGATTCTCTCCATGTCCCTGGAAGACAGGAAAGAAGGAATTGGTCTGAAAAGCAGAAAGGAAGACTCAGTGACACAGATCATCTGGGGAAAGGAGATATCCATGGAAGGTTTGGGAATGGCAGAGCAGCACGTGAAGGATCCCCAGAGATCTCCTCTCACCCTGCTCTGCTGCAGCTCCATCCATGCTGGAAAGGTCAGGACAAGGAGCTCAGCCCTGACTGACAGCTGAAGGCTGGGGAGGTTCATCAGGAGTCCCTTTTCTGATGATTTCATTTCAGTGGAAGGAGACAGAGCTGTTCTCCCCCCCGGGGCAGCTCCCAGCCCCAGCTCCGGCAGTGGCTCTGCCATGGATCATCTCCCACCCTGCCTCACAGGATTCCCATCTCCTGGGGAGGGATCAGGGCTCAGGTACTGCTGTTTAACTCCTCGAGGCCACACCTGTGACTCCTCTCTGCTCTCACAGGGGGACAGTCTGGGCTTGGGGGTCACATCCTGATCCCTCCAAAGCCCTGTTGGCTTGGAAGGGGTCCTCCAGGAGCAGCCCACCCTGCAGGTACAGCCGGGTGTGCTCCTGTCTGAACATGATTCTCACCTTTGCACAGAACCCTCCTCACATCCTGATCCCTCCAAAGCCCTGATGGGGCTGGAAGGGGTCCTCCAGGAGCAGCCCACCCTGCAGGTACAGCCGGGTGTGCTCCCGTCTGAACATGATTCTCACCTTTGCACAGAACCCTCATTTGCAGGCTCAGCAGAAGGGGAGCAGATTCCCATTATCGTGTTCTCCTTGCATCTGGAATTTTAAGTGAACTGCATAACAGAATCTTCTGCTTTCTTAAGCATTTCCTTCTCCTTTCTTTAATCATGCTGAGATTTCCTGTGATACTGTGAGCTGTAATTATCATCTGCAGATCAGTGGCAATGCTAAGCTGGTTCTTAAAGGGATTTTTTTTTCTGTGAATTTCAGATGACCAAGAACAAAATTATAATCACCTGATACTAAACGGTGACAACCAGACACCTACACATGGTAAGAGACAGCAAAGAGCAAAATTACACACGTTGTAACTTTCCTCTGCCAGCCAGTAACATTTACTGGTACCAAATGTGTTTAATGTTAATGGAAATATTCCTCTGGCAGTGCTGCATGGCTGATTGTTCCCACTGACATTAAACACAGGACCATATTTTCAGTAGTGTGCACAGGGAAATATGGCCCAGTCTTTTCTAACTGTGCTGATCAGCCTTGTGTCTAATTCCAAGATACTCCTTTGTTTCCCACCTGGTTTCCTCCCCCTCGTCCCAGCCTGGAGCTGTTTCTTTGCCTCCTCCATGGCCAGAAGCTGCCTCTCTCTGCCCAGCCCTGTCCCCCAGCCCTTCTGTCCCCTCCTTTGGGTTTCCCTGGGCGGCAGTGGAGCCTGGGCTGTGCCCCCCTCCCTTGGATCCAGCCCAACCCTGGCAGCTCCTGGCTCCATCCAGCCCCAGGCCAGTCCCTGCCACCCAAACCCCTGTTCCCCAGGGTCTGAGCCATCAGACCAGCCTCTGACTGATCCCTCAGGCCCCCTCTGCTTCCCCTCCTCTTCTGCTGCTCCTTGTCTCAGTCCTGTCCGTGTCCCTCCCTGCCCCCTGTGCCTCTGCAATGGGATCCATTCCCCCTGCTGTAAGCTCCCAGTAAATCTCATCTCTATCACTTCTGGCAGCTCTGAATCTCTGTATTTGTGACTCTTTTTGTCCTGGTGATTGTTTTGAGTTCTGAAACCTCATCCTGACTGTTCTGGAGCTGATTTATTGCAAGTTGTGTTCACATATAGAAATCTCCCTGCTGCTAAGGAGGGTGGGAGAACAACTGCCCTTGGAAAGATCCCCTAAAACCTTGGGGGTTTCTCCTTCCCAGAGGAGGCAGGCATCTCTTCAGCCTGCAAATTGCTTCCATGGTAAGCCTGTGTTATTAGGACTTCATTTTCTGTCTTCCAAACACTCCAGGAGGAAGAGTGTCAGCTTTAAACTCATCAGTGCCACAGCAGTATTTATTGAGCCTGAACTGACAGCTTCCAATGTTCCTGACTACTTACTCTGTTTGCTTTTTTACCTTCCTGAGGGAAAAAAAAAAGAGAAGAAAATGGAGAATTAGGGTTGAGAATGTGTTGTCTTCTCTTTGGTCTTGGTACTCATTCTTAAACTCCAGCCCCTGCTGGGCTCTGAGCTGCCCTTGACCTGTGTCTGCCCAGGAGCTTCAATGCAGCTCCAGCATCAGGGTCCTGTCGCATCCAAGCACTCCAGGGAATGTGACAAAACAATTCCACTTCCCTCTGCTCCTAACAGATGCTTTGCTATTTTTTATGTGCTTAAGAGACAAAAAACCGAAGGCAGATCCACTCATGGTCTTGGATTCCTTGTGCTTCCTGTGCCTGAACAGTTTGGCTGTTGTGAGGGACTGGGATGAGCTGACTACAAATGAGGGTGTGATTCAGAGGTACATCTTCCTCTGAGTTATCCAGATGGCCATGGCTGCTTTTGTTCCTTCCATCCCTGTGTGCTGCTGCTGCTGAGCCATTGCTTGGCGAGTCTGAAAATACATTTGGGCTTTTCAAGTGAGACATCAGAAGAGCTTGCAGGATGGCACAGAGGGCTGGAACGAGTGCTGGGAATTGTGATATCCTGGGGAAGACAATTCCCAGCGGGATCAGAGGTGGTCACAGGCAGCTCAGTCACAGGAAGTGTCCAAGGCCAGCTTGCAGCCCCTGGGAGTGTCCCTGCCCATGGCAGGGGTGGCACTGGGCCAGCTTTAGGGTCCATCCCAACCCAACCCATCCTGGGACTCCTCAGTTCCAGCCTCTCCCAGGCCAGGGGCTGCAGTCCCAGGATTCAGTTCTGCTGTGGTTGAGGGCTCTGAATGAACCGCAGTGACTCTGAGCATCCCACATCTGCCAGAAATCCCTTGGGTGTTTTCTGCTGCTGGACTATTCCTGTCCCAAATCCCCCCCGGGACACCAAATGTGCCATTCCAGAGGCTCCTACAGCCCTTTAGAAACCTCAGCTGAAATTCTGCTCTCAGTGACAGAATTGAGACCCCAATTCCACTGAAATCTGATTTTTCATGTGGATTTCCTTAACTCTAGACTTTACTTCTACCTCAGCTGCAGATTTGAGCTGCAAATGAAGAACTCTACAGCAGTTTTAGGAAATGTAGTGATTTGTATGTAAAATGTGAGTGGGAGGGAGCAAGTATTAGGCTCTAAGCACAACCAAGTTTTACATATGAAATGCAGCTAAATCTTTTGATACATTAATTTATCTTGCTTAGATATTCAGCCTTCACACAAAATAAGCACATAAAATGATTTCCCCCATAAAAACATTAAAATATGAAGGAAAAAACCGAGCTGGGGGCACAAAAGAGAGCTGAGCATCAGCTATAACAGAAATACACAGTGACTGCCTGGGCTCAGTTTCTGTACAGATTATTGCTTTATTTTTTACTGCTACTGAAGTTTCATCTCATTATATTTAGTGCATATATAATTATCCTAACCTAAAGAGCACCTAATAAACATTTTCTTTTTTACATCTTTATAAATACCAAGCGCATTTCCAAATAATATGGTTAGAAGGAAGTTCATATCACGACTTTTATGTCAGTTAATTGCATTTGACAATCATCTCAAAAATACTTGGTGAAGCACCATGAGCAGCCAATTACTTCAAGGTTTTAATTTGGCCAAGTGTTTTTCCATGGATGATGCCTGGGATTGCTCTGATGGAGGCAAATTTCATTTTATAGCTGTACTTGTGTGGGTTTTTAACAGTTTCCTCCATATGGACTCAGGTATGAGTGCGGTTCCCTTCCCTTCCCTTCCCTTCCCTTCCCTTCCCTTCCCTCCTTTTTTCTCTCTTTTCCTTCTTTCCCCCCTTCTTTCTCTTTTCTTCATTTCAAAAATCCAGGGCATCTTCCTTCCCACACACTAATAGGGCTTTGGGGGATATATTGCTGAAAAAATCCTTGCATCAATTTTCTAACATCAGACCAGAAGCTTCAATTTGGGGCAATCCCAGAAGATATGAAAATGATTCCCCATTCTGTCACATCTCCTCCAGCAATTTGTTGAGAGTTTTGTGTCTATTGTGTTTAAGACACTGTTTACAAAATCATAACAATTAAGGACTGTTTAAATTAGCTTTATCCCCAGCAGAAATATATGGGGGGAAAGCAGAAGCTAATCAGATGTGCAGCATGTAACCCAGAGAACAGACTGGATGTCCTGACCTTGGGCAGGGCTGGAATGGCTGTGGGAGGGGTGATAATTCACCTGGGGGGAATTTTGGAAGGAATTTGAGCTGGATCCTCTGAATTATTTTAGAGGATGAGGTTTATTTTCTTATCTTCTACATAGACAGGAAGGGTGAGTCCTGCTCACATCTTCACAGCATGGCTCAGAAGGTCACGAGACCTCTAGTTACAAGAACTTTTAAGGAGTTATTGACCAATAAAACACTGCCAAAAAGGACATTTATGCTTTTGAGCTAATATGTAAATATTTTGTCATATAGACCCATGCTGCAGTGTGAGCTTTCTTAGCCAATCTTGTTATGGCACACAAACCCGTGATGCTGCATTCTAAACTCTTTGTTTACCTCTTTTATTTTTTCTATATCTTAAACTCCAAAACTCTAAACTTTCCCCTATTTAGCTTAACATGTCTCTGCTTTAAACTCCAAACCCACATTCTCTCTTCCAGCACCTGAGCTTGGGAGCCTTTCCCAAGGTCTCAGCTCAAATCCTGGGTTTAATTCTGGAATCCCTGGCAGTGCCCAAGGCCAGGCTGGACAGGGCCTGGGACAGTGAGAGGTGTCTCTGCCATGGCAGGGGTGGGATTGAGTGGTCTTTGTGATCCCTGCCAAGCCAGACCAAACCAGACCAAACCAAACCAAACCATTCCATGCCATTCCAAAATCCCTCTCCCTGCCCACGAGGCCCAGGCAGAGCTGGGGGCAGGTACCAGTCTGCAGTGGTCTCAAACCCAGCAGAGAGGGCTCCCAGCCCCAGCCCTGCCCAGCCCTGGCTGCTGGCAGCTCTGGTGCCAGAGCCAGGGGTTTTATCTCACACTCCAGCACGAGCAGATCCTGTGCCTGGACTGCTCTGTGCAATTTTGATTTCTGCAGCTCTCCCTGCCATGTTAATTGGCAGCGTTGCCCCTCTCAGCCCAGCTGTGGGGTGCAGTATTCAGTGAAGCACTGTGTGTGCTCAGGGGCCTTTCCACACTGATCCCCCTGGCTGACAGCCCTCAGGGGGGTCACTGTCACACCCAGTGCCACCCTGCAGTGTGTGCTGCACCCCTGCCCTCTGCACCTCCAGGCTGCTGCTCAGTTCTCAGCGCAGCAAGGCACAGTGCTAGAGCCACCCTGGCACACACAGGGCTTCAACACTGCCTCTGCTTGCAATCCTCCATCTCCAGCTCTCATAAATGAGGGCAGCTACTCGCTGGAGAGCTCTGATTTACACCACAGAGGATCTGACCTGAAAATGTAGAAACCTCCTGGAGATTAGTCATGAGAAATGCAAAGCACTATTAATAACAGTGTTTGTAACACGAGGAAACACAAGTGTGAAAACACAAACACTGAAGATATCTGTCATAAATCTTGAGTCTGCAAACATCAGTTTATTGCCTGCTCTGACAGCGTGTCACTTCAGCATGGCCTGGGAGCTCTGAGCCCTGCCACAGAAGGCTCCAGAACGTCAGCACAGGCACCAGATTTTCCTGAGGAATGGGGCCCTTTGTAAGAACTTGCGTCAGAATCGCAGACTTTGCGTCTGAGCCTTCAAAGGGCTGAGCAGGAGCAGGGCTGGGGGAGCAGGGAGAGCTCTGACACAGGGCTGGAGCTCTGCTGAGCTGGAGCTGAGCAGCAGAAGGCTGGGTTGTAGCAGCTTCTCCTAGGTGACATTGTTTGCTTTCTCTGGGTGAATGTTTTAAAAGGCATCTGTTGAAATGTCTTGCAGAATTCGCACAACATATGTGCAGACTCAAATGCAAATCTGCAGCACATCCCTTTTGCCACTTGAGCTTTGTTCAAAACTTTGCCATCGATTCATATTTTTTTTATTTTGGTATCATCTGCTCCCGTCCTTGAACATGAAAGGTTCTGTGCCTCATGTAAACACACTTTGAAAGTGTCTTGCAACAAGAGGGGCAGAGCGAGATGTGACAAGAAGACTTCAGGTCTAATCTGCATAGCTCTGGAAATCCTGAAGCTTCTCTGAGCTCTGAGCTTGCAGAGAGGTTGCAAAGCACTGAGAGAGAAATGAGCTCTGCCTCAGCCCAGAGGGTGAGGTCTCTGTGGTGCTGGGTGAGGTTCCTGTGGTGCTGGGTGACGTTTCTGTGATGCTGAGTGAGGTTCCTGTGGTGCTGGATGAGGTCCCTGTGATGGTGGGTGAGGTTCTCATCATGCTGGGTGATGTTTCTGTGGTGCTGGGTGAGGTTCCTGTAGTGCTGGGTGAGGTTTCTGGGTGCTGGGTGAGGTTCCTGTGGTGCTGGATGAAGTTCCTGGGTGCTAGGTGACATTTCTGTGGTGCTGGGTGACATTTCTGTGGTGCTGGGTGTCCCCTGGGCTGGCTGAGCTTCCCCTCCTGCCTGCTCCTCTGCCACCTCCTGTGCCAGGAGGGATGCTGTGCCAGAAAATGGGCACCAAATGGCACAGAGATGCTGAGGAGAATGGGGACCAAACCTGGGTGTAAAGGTAAGGCCAGTAGCCATGGACAGAGCTCGTTTTCCAGTGTCATCTCCAGCTGGGATGATGGGAATGCAGTGTACAACCTCAGCTGCCTTGCAGGGAATGGGAGACCTTTGTTTTGCATCCTGATCATTGATTCTGACCTGCAGCTTCCATAGGAGCCCACAAGCACCACACACAAAGAGGAGAGAGACCAGAGACAAATAAATTGCAGGAGTGAAAAACTGGTGCTGAACTGGCCTCAGAATATAAATTGCATGAGATATTTTTCCTTACTAGAGCACCTCAGTTCTCTGATCTCCCCCTCAAGCTACATTATGCAAAAGACATCTGAAATTAGCTTTGGTCATTTCAGTTTATCCCTTGTTTTGCTGAGTGATGGGCAGTGGCTTTCAAGGTGACTTCTCGTTTGCCAGAATCATTCCAGTCTGTTCCCGGATGGGAAAAGCAGCGAGAAGATGAAGTGATCCTGCAGCAGCCCATCAGATAAATGTGTGGCACTTAATTTCACACCCCTCATGCAAGCAGTCAATTAATGCTCTGCTCTGGCACCGTGCGTGTGCCTGGGCTCACTGCAGCGTGCCCAAACCCCCATGAAAATGGAGATTAGCTCCACGTTCTGCCTGAGCAGTCTGCAAAGAGATGTTACCCCGGGGTCCTTGCCACACAAGCAGGAGGAGGAGTGGGGACATGGTTTCAGTGCTGATCCAGCCTCTGCTTGCTGGGTAACATGGAATCAATCATTTCCAGCCCCCTGATGGTCCTGCGGGCAGTCTGTCAGACATGGGTGGAATCGTCAGCAAGGAAGTGCTGCTCTCTGAGAGGTGCCACTCCACATCCCTCGGGTCTGTGCTCTTTGTGCCACACCAGAACCCCTTCCAGGAGAGTGGAGAGGAGTAGGAGAAAGGGGAGAGGAGCAGGAGAAAAGGGAGAGGAGATTTAGGAACCGAGGTGCTCCCTGTGCCAGGAGAGCAGAGAGGAGCAGGAGAAAAGGGAGAGGAGCAGGAGAAAAGGGAGAGGACATTTAGGAACTGAGGTGGTTATTGCATTGGAAGGAGGAATTTTTCACCAGTGCTGTATTCTGTGAGAAGGAATCACTTTCTTTCTTACAGAATTACTGTGAGAGTAATTCTGTAATTACTGAGGCAGGGCTGCCTCAGCCTGTCTTTGACACCGTGCAGTGCTGAGGGTGGGTGACAGGAGGTTTAAAACATCCAGGGGAAGCCCCAGTGGGAGAAAAGTTGTGGAAGCAGCTCTGGATCCCCGAGCAGACACACAGATGAACTGCTGGGTTCATTTCCAGGCTGCAGGGGCACCGAGGACATGGTGAAATGAAAAATTCAGAGAGTAGGAAAACGTTCTGCTGTCCAACAAGCAGGGCTGCACACGGCAGAAAGGCAGCAGGGGAGGAGGTGGCCTCACTCTCACAGATGTTTTTTTGGAGGAAGCAGATTCACTTTTGACTCAGGTCTAGAAAAATGTCTGTGAAATGTCTGCACTCTGCCTTGGTGGATTTTGGTTTGAGTTTTTTTCCTGGAAATGGGAGAAGTTAGCAAGTGTGGGGACACTGCACAAAACCAGCAGCTTTCCAAGTGAAATTCCCCTGCTCTGTTACCTCTGGGCAGAATCTGAGCTTTTCTCTCCACCAGCCCCTGGTGCAGAGGAGGCAAGAGGGCTTGGGGCAGGTGAGTGCACACTGATCATGCCCTGCTGTTCCTGGGACACTTAGGGATGTACAAGAGGAAAGTGTGAGCACAGGGCTTGGGCATTCTGCTGCTCCTGCAGAGAATTTACCATTCTGATTTCATTTTCAGTGGCCACCTCCTTGGTCCTTTGCCTCAGCTGCTGAGCCCCATCACTGCTGTGGGGTCTGACGGAGCCCACTGGTCTGTTCTGCCTCTGCTTCCAATAACTGAAGTTCCTGCTTCGTTAAATCCTTTCATCTCTGCCCATTTTAATATCTGAACACCTGGGGGTTGTAAGTGCAGTTCAACAGGTCCCTGTGCCTTGGCTGGGCTGATCAAAGACCATTTTCCAGCTTGCAGAGAAAGAACAAGGTTCCAAACCCCTGCAGATAGTTTGGATTTCAATTTTAGCATCTGGCCTCAGTGCTGATCTTTACTGCCAGTGCCCTCAGCATTAGAATTGTGACAGAGGGCACTGGGACCCTGCCTGGGGACCCCTCAGTGGCCAACAAAATGAATATCAGTAGAGGGGCATCCCCCACCCCTCAGGATAGGGATTTCCTGCCTCAGGAACCTCCCCAGCACCTTGCCTTGCCCTCTGAGTGCCCCCAGAGGTGCCCCCAGCCCCAGCTCCAGCCCAGGGAGGTGTGCAGCTTTGCAGAGCCCCAGAGCCTCCAGGTTCAGAGCACCCATGAGGAATGTGGCACACAGAGGGGGCAGCTGGATCATCACCAGCCCAGTTAATGAACCCCCAGACTGGTTTTGTGTCCCTGAGGATGAGGAGGGCGCACTGTGGGGGTGAAGGTGAGTGATGCTGCCTGGCACAGCCCTGCATGCCCGGGGTGAGTGCCAGTGCAGCCCCAACCCTCTGGGACAGCTCCAGGGGATGTGAGGCAGCACTTGGCTGGCCCCATAAGGCTGTGGAGAGGAAGCAGCACCACAGGATCCATTTCTCCTGGATCTGCTGGTGCCAGTTTGAGTCATGCCCAGGAGCCCGTGGCTGAGCCTGGCTCGGGCCCAGCTTTGCTCCCTGCTGGAGCTGTGGGCACAGCCAGCCTCTCTCCATCCCCTCGGGGCACGCTCTAGACCTGTCTTTCTCTGCTCTTTCTTTTGCAGACAAGCCACGAATGAACAACATCCTCACTTCAGCCACCGAGCCCTACGACCTGTCCTTCTCCCGCTCCTTCCAGAACCTCTCCCACCTCCCGCCCTCCTACGAGTCTGCTGTCAAGACCAACCCGAGTAAATATTCATCTCTGAAGAGACTCAGTAGGTGTCGGCTCCTTTCCTTCCCCCTGTTTCTGGTTTGCTCTGGAGGGAGGATTAACCCCTTCCCTGTGCTGGCACTCCTGGCTGTGGTTGTGATTGCCCCACTCTACTCCTGAGCAGCCAAGGAGCTCCAGCTCTGGAAGTGCCAAGCCCTCCCTGCTCCCACGGGCACTGAACACACTCAGCACCTCCAGAATCACTGAATCACTCTCCTGCAGCTGCTCCACTCCAGAGCCAAAGGAAAAGAGGCTCCCAGCTCCCCAAGCTCCCCTTGCAAAGTGCCAGCAAGATAATGTTCTTATTCCGTATGAAGGAGCTGAAGGGAACACAAAAAAAGTGTGATATCTAAAAGCTGGAGTTTGAAAATTACTTATTTGACATTCTTTTTTTAATTTAAATTTGTTTCTTCCCAATGGACTCCCTGTCACGGTTAGGAAAAAAAAAAAAAGTAATGAAGAGATTATTAACAAATACTTCTATTTAAGCAAGATATAAAGCATTAGATATTTTTTAAATCTGTATTTCAGGTGCTTGTCTGGCTTGCCAGGCAGGGAAAAGTCACTTATTTTCCTCCAGTTTGCAGAGACAGGTGGTGAAATACTAGTTTTTTATCTCCCTGGCCCTTCCTTCAGGGCACAGACAACAGAACCCCCTTTGGGGGGTCCTTGGGGGTTTTGGGGGAGTCTCTGAGGGGCTGGGCACCCCCTGTGCCCTGGGGAAGAGCAGCGAGGGGAGGGTGTGAGGATGAGCAAGAGCAGCCAGATTAATTCCATCCTGCCCGTGCTCCAGGGAATTGCTCTTCCCAGCGAAGTGAGAAAGGTCAGAGAGGAAGGAAGCTCCTGTTTTCAGGCTTATTAAACCACTTGGTGCTGGCTGGAGAATCATCACAAGTGACTGGGCAGCTTGGAAATGTTAAAGCCAATTAAAATAAGGAGAGACAAGCCCAGAGAGGAAACCTGCTGGAGCTGCAGAGGAACACATTCTAATTGTGATAGGGTGAATTATAACATCTGTATTGCCTCACCCTTCACGTGAGGCTAAAAATAAAACAAAAGTTTTTAAAATTCCTCTCAGTCCTCCCATCTCCAAGTCAAAAAAGAACCTAATCCAACAACATTCCTGCCAGGCTCTGTTCCCCATCCCTGGCTCAGGCTGACACCCCTCTCAGAGCCAGCAGCCTGGAAAATGTCTGTCTGCTGCTGCCTCGAGCAGCTTGGTGGGTGTGACACACGGCTGTTCCACCTCCTCTGGCTGCTCTGAGGTGGAGATGGGCAGCTTTTCCACACCTGGAAATGTTCCTCCTCCTCCCCGGCATCACTGGAGGCACGCCCTGAGGGAGCTTAGAAGCATCTTTGAAATTAAATCAGCTCCCTGAAAGGTTGAGCCATGGCAGCAAAAGGCTGTACAGACCTGTACCAGGGGCACAGGTGGGACAGGGAAGGAAAAGGGAATTTTTTATGCTCATAATGGACAAAACACTTTAAAGGGTAGCACATGCTGCATCTTTAGTCCAAGGAACACCTTCAAGCCCCTTCCAAGCAGCTGATTGTGCCACCTCTCTAGCAGCCTCAGAGCTGTAAACCTCACATAAGCTGGTTTAGCTCCTGCTGGCAATTACCAGAGCCAGGTGTGAGCATCCAAGCACATCTCCATTTGGGATGTTCTGTGCTTTAATTACATCTATTTAGAGTCACATGGGCAAATCCTGTGGAACTCCTCTCATCCAGAGCAGAGGCCAAGTGCCAGAGTGCTAATTGCTTCGTTCCCACTCTGCAGCCAGCCTCCAGCATCGCTGCTGAGCCTCTGCACACCCAGCCTGGCATTTCCAACCAGGGCAAAACACAGAATAAAAACGTCTGCAGCTCCTGGGGCCATATGGAGTTCCCCCCGCCCTCAGGCTTCCTAGAAGGTGATTTTAAAGACATGAGAGCTCGAGGCCAGGAGAGCTGCTGCCTGACATTTGCAGTGAGAAATCCTTCAGAGAAGTGTTGGACGGCAAAAAATGAAGATTAATTCCTGCAGTGTGTGCTCTGGAGAGCAAATCCCACAAGCAGGAAGGCAGCAGAGGGGAGCTGTGGGTGACCTCACGCCTTGGGGCTGTGTGGGCTGGCAGGAAGGGGCTGGCAGCAGCACTGGTGGCACAGATGTTCTCAGCTCCTGCTCCTGGGTGTGAGGGAACCAACCCCACCTCCTCACGGATCTGGGCTGCGCACAGGGGCTGGCAGCAGGGAAGGGAAGGTGTGGGACAGGGGATGAGGATGTAAGTGAGGGACGTAGCCCAGCACAGGGTGGTGCAGGGTTTGGCTGAACTGGTGTTTTGTGAGCAAAGCTCTGGGATGCTGTCAGCACCCACCCCATGAGCTCTGGCTCATGGGACAAGCAGCCAGTTGTCTTCAACTCCCAGCCAGTGTGGTGCACAAAACCTACAGATTGATGGCTGTAGGATTCCTGTGATCTATCACGATACAGCTGCAGTAGCCAACATCCTCTCTGAGCCCACAGCATTCCTCTCAATGCCAAAAAAAAGAGAGTGAACGTGTGGGGGGTGTGGGCTGCATTTCAGAGCAGCAGAGAGATTGCTTAAGACACAGGAGCAGCAAACTGTGCAAGAATTTTTCTATGGGATAAATTCTATTCTATCAACCAAGGTTGGTTATAAAAATGGGAAAGAAACCTTAGGCAGGTGATTCAGTGTCTCAGGGACCACCAAACCTGGTTTGTGATCACATTTACAAATATTTCAATGCGGTAATTAAAATGTGATGAGGTCATTCATGTGCTGCAGGGAATAGCCATGTCCAAGGCCAGAGGTGAGATGTGCACGTCCTCAAACGGGGACCTCGCCTGCTTGTGTCACCTGCCTTGTTCTTTCCCAGGGTGACATTTGGAGAATGTGACAATTTGAGAAGGTGACATTTGGGGATTTCTCCATTGCTCACCTCTCATGTAAACCCTATGGTACCACGGTCTGGCCTCCAGAGCACATGGAGGAGTGTGGGATGCACCGCCCAGGGAATTACACTGTCCCCACGCATTTCACACTCCTCTGTGTGCCACAAGCCTCAGGTGTCACCAGGAGGCAGCTCCAGAGCCTGGAACAGCACTCTGACACTTCTAACCTCTCCCTTTCCCTCCCCACAGCTGACAAAGAGGCTGACGAGTACTACATGAGGAGGAGACACCTGCCCGACCTGGCAGCCCGGGGCACGCTGCCCATCAACGTCATCAAAATGTCCCAGCAGGGCAACCACCGGGACAGGCCCCGCCGTCCCATCAGGGCCATGTCCCAGGACAGAGTGCTGTCCCCCGAGAGGATCATGCCCGAGGAGTTCAGCATGTCCTACGAACGGATTCTCTCAGACGAGCAGCTGCTGTCAGCAGAGCGCCTGCACTCCCAGGACCCGCTGCTGTCCCCGGAGCGGTCGGGCTACCCCGAGCAGTCCATGTCGAGGGCATTGTCACACACAGATGTCTTTGTGTCAACACCGGTCTTGGATCGCTACAGGATGTCAAAAATGCACTCCCATCCCAGTGCCTCAAATAACTTGTACAATACCTTGAGTATGAACCCGACCTCGGCCAAGCGCCAAGCGTTCGCCTCGCGCCGGCACAACACGGTGGAGCAGCTGCATTACATCCCCGGGCACCACCACCACTACCGCACCGCCAGCAAAACAGAGGTGACTGTTTGACACGACCCAGTGCATTGTAGATACTCCTTAAGGACTGGGGTGGCCACAGCACCCCGTTCTGCGGTGGCCTTATAGGCCAAGATAACCTCTACTAACTCAGTGTCTGCAAAGACTTCTCTGGCAGTCCCACCCACGTTGTTTTTAAAGCCACCCCTTCATCAGTGACACAGGAAGAACTGAAGCAGCAGTCAGACACTAGTGAGGGATAACAGAGGAAATTTCCTGATGTGCATCAGTTTCTGTCAAAGAAAGCCATAGTAATCGATGGCTCCTTCCAAGGGCTCACCTGCATTATCCCATAGTTCCCACGAATTCAGGACTTTTCAGTTGCTCCAAGGAGAAGCAGCCTGAGACAGGGAGGAGGAAATGCAGCCCCCCCACCCTGGCAGAAAGGGGCCTCGCTCTTGGTCCTCGTGTTTGGCCTTTCTGTAGCAAGTAGGGAAGTCCTGGCTGCTGGGGCCATCCCCAGGCTGCTCGACACCCTCAGCACCCACACATCTGTTCTTTGTCACCCTTGGAGCAAATTCAAGGGCAGACTTTCCTTCGGGACTGGCAGATCTAGGGACAGGAATAGCCTGGCTGAGAAATAAAGTTTTAGTTTATACTAAATATACTCATAAGATAAAAACATACTAGTGCCTACAAATCGCCTGCTCTCTCAGTGTAGGAAGTAGTGGGGTTGATGTGTTCAATAAGCACAAATATGCTGAAATGCTTGTTAGACCCTTTTCTCCACTCATTCTAGTATCTTGGTGTCTCCAACATGTAAATAGGAAGGAGGAAGAGGGTTTCTCTTCCTCCAGCTTCTCGCCACTGCTGAACCTAAAGCACCAGAACCCGTTCAGCTCCACACTGCTGACCTGTGCTGGGGGAGGTCCCGACCCCACCGAGACCCCCGCGAGGCCAGGCTCCACGCCTGTCACCGAGCCTGGATTTCTCCCCAGAGATTTCTTTTCCTGATAGCATTTTCCATGGCCCAGTTCCCCTGTTTCTGAACGTTTTCTCCTCCCATTTACAGCCTAGAACTCCATATGTAGCAAATCTTTTTGCAGCCCTTAGCAGAGGCACAAGGCTGAGGGTGTGTGTTTAGCGAAAAGCAGGTCGGTAACTTTCCGTGGTTTTCTCTCCCTGCAATGGCCTCCCAAGAAAACCTTCCAAATTCCAATTCCACTGAGTCCTAATCCTAACCATGAAGACAGTTACATTTCATGCATATAAATTATATATCCAGCATAATTATAATTAATGGGCATGTTGTATATCTGATATAACGCTAATTAGATACTGTATATTTGTAAAATCTTTAAAACATAGACTCGTGGGTCCAGAATTTGCGAGGGTTTTACCTTTGGCTTTCCAGACAGATTGGGCTTTGCTTTGGTTTTTTTTGTTAGATTTGGGTTTGGTTTTTCTTTTCTTTCTTTTATTTACCCCTTTTATTTATTATTGTGTTCCTACCAAATTCTGTAGAACTAACTCCCACTGGAACACACTTCTGTGGTCAGGAAAGGGTCTCAGAGGGTTTGAAGGTCAGCCAGATCTGATGCTGGAGCTGTGGGTGCTGGAGACTGACCCCAGTGTGCCCTCAAGGCCCCAGCACATGCACACCCACCGTGGGTGAGGGCAGGCACACTCCCTGCTCGGGGTGAGGTGAAAACTGACTTCAGGCTGTGAGCACATCCCTTGCACTTCTCTTTGTCCCCACACCAACTCTTTTCCTACATGGCTCTTCATTAGGCATCCCTGAACTCTGCTCTGCCCTCCTCCCTCCCCTCAAATACCTCCCACCTCCTGGCCTTAATGACATTCCCAGCCCAACTGTGCCAAGTCCTGTAGCAAACAATGATCGTGGGGTGTGAGTCTCCTGTGGAGGCTTTGGTGCAGCACCAGGTTTGTCTGGTGCAGGGCAGGCAGGAGGAGCAGGTCCTTACCCCAGTGGGACTTACAGGTGGGCCTCAGTGGGGTGTCCAGGTGGCCTTTCTCTTTCCCAGGCTGTCCTGGAGCTGGTTCTATTTCCAGAGCTTTATCCTACCCCACCTGATGGAGACTGTGTTGAGAAGGACTCCATCAGCCAGAGGTTACTGGGGCTTTGTTTGACGGAAACTGAGCTGGGAGGGAATCAATAAATAAAGAATAGTCTCCAGGGTCAGATCCTGCAGCCTTGGGCAAAATCACTCTGGGCAACAACCAGAACTGTCTGTGGATCAGGGTGGCAGTCCATGGCACGGGAGGGATGGGAGAGAACAGGCTCACAGCTTGTCTCCTGCCCCCTCCCTTGATGGGCACTACTCTCCCCTGACTACCTCCAAGCTCCTCGGCTCAGTCCCTAGATTTTTCCTCCCGGAAGACAATCCCTGTGAAAACATTGCCCTGCCGACCTTCCCACAGGCCAGAGCGTGGGACTCGTGTGAAGAGAAGAGGAACTCTCACGGATGATGGGGAGGCAGCCCCTGCTGAGGTTCTGGGGCTCTTCCACTCTCTCTTGGCTCAAACAAAGCCAGGGAGATCTGAACACTGTGGGGAGCAGAGTCCACTGTAGAGCCTCCAGGAGCTGTGGTGGCAGAGTTGGAGAAGAGGTGACGGTGGGAGGCTGTGGGTAGGTGAACACTCCTCTCTTTCCATGTCCATAGCTGTCTGTCTCAAGCTCTAGTCCTCATCTAAATGTTCTATTTGTGAGCTAAGATGTTGCTGGACCAGATACAAATTTGGAAATTTTTCATTCAAACAGCCTGTGCTGATGCTGAGCTGGGCCATTTGACCTCTGTGTCTTCCCCTTTTCTGGCTAACAAATATCACAGGCCCTCTGCTGACGTGTCTTACCTGGGCAAGATTCCTCCAGAGAAATCTCAGCCTCATTTCCTTGTCTTTTTTCCACCCACTCAACTGTTTCAAGCAGATGTGTCCCACAAGGAGCCTTTTTAGGCCAAATCTCTTCAGGGACTCTGCCACCACCACAGAAAATTTTCAGCAAATTTCCTCGGGAAGGAACCGTGCCCTGGATACCTCCATGCATTCCCACAGCTCACTCTGTGTGCTGGAATGGGTTGGTGGATGGGGCAGTGGCACTTCAGCACAAACAGGTGTCCCTAGGTAATTTTTCTCCCTTATTCCTCCTTCTGAGAATTTGTCACTGAAAGAACACTTGGTCTGGGACCGAGTGTCATGACCCACAGCCTGGTCTCCAGCACTTCAGTTCCCCGTGGTCATCATGTGATGATAATGGGAATTTCCAGCTCTGTGGAGGGATCAGACCGCAAGGTCTGTGACGTGCTTTGAGACCCTCTCACAACAAGAACTGTAGAGCAGCAAAGTGTTTTTGTTTATCTTGTTTGTCATTGTCCTGACACATGATGTCTGATGTGCCACAGTCCACCCTGCCCAGGAGGGGAGTGCTGGGCTGGGATTGCCCAGATTCCCACTGCTCTCCTCCTGGTCAGGGTCCTGGCAGGCTGCAGCTCCAAGGGATGCTGCTCCCTGCCCTGGACCCTCCTGCTTCCTTCTCCTCGTGTCTGAGTCACCACAACATCCTGCACTCAGGAGAAAAGAGGGAAGCAGCCACATTCCTCTGTACAGAAAAATATAACCTGCCTTGATTAATCTCATATACTCTGAAGAATTGATCTGTATTTTCTCCACCCACAGGTGCAAACAAACACCTCGGGAGTGTCCAATTCCCAGAGTGCATGTGCAGGGACTGGGGAAGGGGGATGTAGAAAAGTTTATAGTATTTCCTACAAGCTGATAATTATTTTCATTCCCTGAGCAGCAACACGTCCTGGATGGCTGCACTGGGTTTTATACAATTCTCTGTGTATGTGTATATAGATACAAATACATATATATATATACATACATACTGTAAAATGCAATCAACACGTTCTGACTGACCCTGTACCAACCGAAGCTTCCAAACTGTGTTGAATCATTCTTTGAAATGTGGAAAACTATTTTTAATGAACCACACACAGCACCACATGGAACAGAAACTTTGTCATAAAAAGCCTTCTAATGCCAGTGAATCATGTTTTAACGAAAAAAAAAAAAGAAATATTTTTCAATGTTATAATGTTCCTTTTATAAATGATGATCTGTTACTTGGGGATGGGGGTGGGTGGGAAGAAACAGAGACAGTTGTCCGGGACTAAGCCCTCCTTCCCTGGCCTGGATTTAATTTCTGTCTGCTGAGCCTGGCTGGCTGCAAAGCTGCTCCCAGGAACCTGAGCTTCCCACATGCACATTTCTGTTCTGTCAGAAGCATTCCCACCAGGAATCTGCAGGAGCTTGGCATCAGGTTTTTGTAGTTCCTGATAGCTGGGAAGACATCCTCATCTTGTTCCACCACCACAAACAAAATCGCCATGGAACAGAGTAACTTTAATTGTGCTTGAGATACGTGTTCTGTTTGTGATCAATTTGCCATCTTCAGCTCATGGAGAAATAGCTTGTCTTAGTTTAGTTTCAGATTTACTGCTTAATCTGGAAGGAGGGGCTCTGCTGAAATACCTTCAGCACGAACAGATTTTGTGTTCAGGTGTGTTTCAGCTGAGCAAAAGAAGGGAAATGTGTGAGAAAGGGGCTTCAATATTTTCCTAGCGAGTGTTGTTAGCAATAAGCCCGTGTTGGGGCTGCTCCTTGGGGAGCAGTCACTTCTGTGCTGTGTGTCCACAGGCAGGTGGGAGAAGGGATCATTCCCAGCTCTCCATGGTGAGAGGTGCCCTCCCCGAGCCCAAATCCCAGCTGGGAAAAGCCAAACGTGCTTCACCCAAGGGCCAGGGCAGAGCTGGACGGGGCTGTCTGAGCATGCCGGTGTTAATCTGAAAGAGATCTCTGCTCCCAGCACCCCAGGTCTCCACCGTGGCCACACCATGTGCGGGAGGTCTCCATGCCAGGAGATCCCCATCCTTGGAGGTCTCCATCCCAGAAGGTTTCTCTCCATCCTGGGAGGTCTCTCTCCATCCTGGGAGGTCTCTCTCCATCCCAGGAATCTCCATGCCAGGAGGTCTCTCTCCATGCCAAGAGATCTCCATTCCAAGAGGTCTCCATGCCAGGAGGTCTTCCTCTCTGGAGATCTCCCTCTGTCCCTGGAGGTCTCTCTCCTCTCCTGGGGGTCTCTCCCCATCCCAAGAGGTCTCTCCCCATCCCTGAAGGTCTCTCCCCATCCCAAGAAGTCTCTCTCTATCCTGGGAGGTCTCTCCCCATCCCTGGAGATCTCTCTCTGCCTCTGGAGGTCTCTCCCCATTCCTGGAGGTCTTTCCCCACCCCAGGAGGTCTCTCTCTATCCCGGGAGGTCTCTCCCCATCCCAAGAGGTCTCTCTCTGCCCCTGGAGGTCTCTCCCCATCCCAAGAGGTCTCTCCCCATTCCTGGAAATCTCTCCCCATCCCTGGAGGTCTCTCTCCATCCCTGGAGGTCTCTGCCCATCCCTGGAGTCTCCATCCCACGCCACTGCCAGGAGGAGCTGCTCCCCTGACCCTCTGCTCCGCCGCCGCTCCCGCCCGCCCGCAAACCCCTGAGACATTTTTGTAGCAAGAATTTCTTGGCTCTGAGAAAGACACTTCTTACTGTAATATTTTTAGTTCGGGGGACAATATTTCCTAAGAGGGGTTAAGTGGATATTTTTGTGCTTTAGCCCAGTTTATGGATTCCATGTTTATTATACAGTAGTACTGAAGAGGAAGTACATTTGTATCTGTAACTTTGCACAGACTCTTGGTTAACCATTAAACAAGCTTCAAGATGAGCAGTATTTGACTGTTTTTCTCTGTATTATTCTTGTTGTTATACTTACCTGTAAAAGCACATTCTGTATGTACTGTAAACAAAAATATTATCAGTTTAGTAAAATTTAGAGTCTTAAGGATTTTTCCACTTTTGTCAGTAACAACTATTTATGGATTAAAAAATAAAGGCAATTTCAACATATAAATTGTTTCTTTTTGATATCTATTGGGGGGAAATAAAAGCCATTTTCTTGGCAGCCTTCCCAATCTTTGTAACCAGCGTTTGAAAGGTAGATACCTGTGATTCTGTGTGTAGTTAAATAGCATCTATTAAAATGAATGCTGCAAGGTCTGGAAGACTCATTATTTTTATGTATTTATTTACTGCATTTCATCATCTTGCCAGGAAAAGCAGGGGGAGCAGAGAGACATTACCATTCACTGTGAGACAATTTTGTCTCACAAGCCGAGAAGATTTTATTTTAAAGTTGCCCTTCCTTAAGTTTGCATCCATAAACCATGACATTTTCTCCATCTAGAAAGCCTTGAATTGAAAAGTTGGAGCCTGTGGAATGTCCCATGGTGGTGAGGCTTCCACAGGGCTTTGCTTTTGCCCTTGGCAGTGGAGCACACACAGGATTTTCCCATCGCCCTTCCAGGATGTGAAAGTGCCAAGGAGGTCAGGGTGGGTCTGGCTGAGCTGCCCCCACTGCCACCCCAGAGGGGTCAAACTGCATTTTCATTTCTACCAGCTCTGAACCTGGGCTTCCTTACCACTCTGCCCTGCTGGAACCCTGGCAGAGCTTTTTCCTTGCCTTTTGTGAAGGAAATGTATAATTTCATATTTCGCTTTGCCCCAGGGATCCTTCCCACTGCTGCCCCTTGCAGGGCAGAGGCTGTCACCTCTCCACCACTCACTCAACAAGCCCCAAGCTCTGTTTCAGTCTTTGGCACTTTGGAATTGCCCAGCCTGGGAAAAACAAAAAAGGTTTCAGGATGAGCTGAGTGGGGCTGCCTGAGTGGAGCCAACAGGAAATGTGGAGAGAAACTCTCTACAAGGGATGGAGGGACAGGACACAGGGAATGGCTTCACATGGAGAGAGAGGGTTTGGAGGGATATTGGGAAGGAATTGTTCCCTGGGAGGGTGGGCAGGCCTGGCACAGGGTGCCCAGAGCAGCTGGGGCTGCCCCTGGATCCCTGGCAGTGCCCAAGGCCAGGCTGGACAGGGCTGGGAGCACCCTGGGATGGCAGAAGGTGTCCTTGCCATGGCAGGGGTGGCACTGGATAATTTTTTATGTCCCCTCCAACCCAACCCAGTCTGTAATTCAATGATTCTGCATCTTTATGTTCTTTTGCTGCTCAGCTTTAGTAGACCAAACTTAAGTAGATCAAATGACTTTGAGGAGCAGCACCCCACCCTCATCTTCCAGGGTGAGTCCAGAAGGAAGGCAAGACCCTTGGCCAGGCTTGTGGTCTCCTGTGTGAGCAGAGCTCAGTCAGGCACAATCAGCACTTCCCAAGGAGCACGTGGACCCAGCAGAGCTAATTAAAATGCATTTTTCAGGGAGAAGTTTCGTTTTGCCTGGCAGTTCTATTCATAATTACACAATTCTGTGCAGCACTAATAAGTGGGGATGGAGCAACAGGGAATTAGCTAATTTCTCCACTTCCTATAAAGTTATTGAGGAGAACGTCAGGATTTGTGGTGTTGGGAGCAAGCAGTGACAGAGATGAAGCTGGGACTAATTCCTACCTCAAAAGACAGCAAATCCCACTGCTCCCAACCCCTGTGCTAATTATGTCAGCACTCAGGTGCTCACTCAAGCCACCCTCACTGGCCTCACTGGGTGACCTTCTCAGCCCCTCTGGTGGTGGCCCCAAGTGGCTCTGGTGGCCTGGCAGCCTGGCACCACCCCTGGTGAGGGCAGGACATCCTGAGTGTGACCTGAGGGACACTTGGTGCTGTCCCAGGACGGGAGGAGCCCCTGGGCAGCACCAGTGCCCTGGGTGGTGTGGTGGGATGTCCCAGGCTGAGCCAGAGCCGTGGTTCAGTTGATGAGGAGGTGTTTGCTCAGAGGTTGGACTTGACGGCCTCAAAGGTCTTTTCCAGCCAGGTTAATTCTGTGATCCCTCCTGGGAATGGGGCAGAGGGCAGGCCTGAGCAGAGGGACAGCCTGGGCAGGTCCCTGTGACCCAGCAGGAGCCTCACGGGGGGCTCAGAGGCAGCAGAGAACAGGAGCAGCTGATGGACATTCATCTGGAAGGATGGGAATCATGGGATGGCTCTGGAGGCACCTGAGGAACAATTAAACTGGATTTTTGTCCATTGTCACTCCCACAGCAGGGGCCTGGTGTCACCTTGTCACAGCAGTGCTGGCACAGAGCCATTCCATCAGCAGAGCAGCAATTCCTCCACCTGGGAAGGCTCGGGGTGCTCACACATGAAAAAAGACAGGACTGTGCCCATTCCTGGAAAGACAGAATGCAGGAAAACTGCTGGGAGGCCCCAGGGGTGCTGCTGAGGTGAGAGAGGCCACGCCATCAGTCACACCCTCCCAGCAGCTCTCCCACTCTTCCTGGGCCCCAGAAAAAATACCAGGAATGTTTCCCAAGCTTAGGATTAGCTCTGCTCCCAATTGCCCTGGAAAGACATCGGAAAATGATGAGGAAATTAAAGACTACAGGGTAATTAACACCTGCCAGCATGGGTTTAAAAAATCAGATCTTGTCAAACAATCTCAAATCAATTCTCTAAAGTTCTTCCAGCTGGGGCTGGCAGGACAGAGGGGAGGTGCAATGAGTTTCACCTTTCCCACAGCCCTGGATCCTGTGCTGCTGGAAAATCTGAGGGAGAATTTCATCCCTGCACATCCTTGGGGGAGCTGGTGTCCAAGGGCTGCAGCAGAGAACATCTGGAGGAGCTCAGAGAGGGGCTTCACCCTCTGAAGGGCCACCTCAAGTGGTGTTTGGGCATCAGGGCAAGGCCACACGCAGAGCTCAGCAATCCAGGAAAAATAATGAAATTGTCACCGCTAAAAGTTTCAGGAGACACAAAGAATTTGGGATGAAAAGAGCAACAAAAGAGGGAAATTCTGAGTCAGGGTGGGCTGGGTCCTTTGAAGAGGAGGTGTCCCAATGCCACCAATTCTCTCAGACCTGCAGGAACCAGAGCAGGGCTGCTGGGGTGGACGTGGATGTCCAAATGGAAAAGAATTCCAGCTCAAAACAGAGTTGGGGAAATGCTTTGCAGTGAGGTTTTTACAGAGCTCAGCATTTTAATTCAAAGTGAGATGCTGAGGTGACAGGGTCACTGCATATAAGCACTTTTAGGGGGTGAAAAGTG